GACTCTATTAAACAATAACTGGGGCCTTAGACCTCAGGCTGGGTCTCCTTGACATCGTGGGCAATGCAGAGTTGTGAGCAGGCAATGTCCAGTCAGGAAATCCTACAATTTATTACAAAGAAAAACAAAAATCCTAGCAATGCACTCACAGATAAAACACAACAACAAGGTGTGTTTGCACCACGTGAATTTGTGTTATTTGGATTTAGGTATGAGGTTCCAAAGGTGAAAAACGAATAAGCATTCACTCAAAATGCTTTGTGAACTTGGAAACGCCATACAGTTGTATTTTTTAATGTCAATTTAATAAGAAGAATATTTGAAAAATAAATCAAATAGAACTTTATTTTCTTGCATATAAATGGGGGATCTGAAATCCCAATATCATCTGTTTTTATGGCTCTGCTCTCCTGGGCTCATGTACACTATATTCCTTATTGTAGTCTCCCAAGATTACTGCCTACTTTATCTGTATAAATCAAGAATTTAGGCTTATCTAGAATTACTAGAGTTTGGAAGCTCCTCTTTGTTCTACCCCTGGGGAATATACCTAATTCAGTTCAGCCAACTCCAGACCTGAAAGGTTCAGATCATCTCCCTGAGGAAGAAGCAGGTCCCAAATGTCTGCACTGTCCTCAGAAAGAGAGTCCCCAATTCTCTGCAGTCTAACCCTACACGGGGCTGCAGCATAATACACCAATCTCACAGCCTTTCTTTTAGATCCCAGATTCACAGTTTCAAGTAGTGTCATCCCTGAGTATCTATAAGAGATCAGTTTCAGGAGCCTTGAATCCATGTATGCTCCAGTTCCTTACATAAAATAAAGTGTCTATGCATATCCTCCCTTGCATTTTAAATAATCTCTAGACGACTTGTAATATCTAATACGATGTTAATGCTATGTCAATAGTTGTTACAGGGCATTGTTTAGGGAATGATGACAAGGAAAAAAGTCTGTACATGTTCAGTACAGGTGCAATTTTTTAAAAAATATTTTCTATCCGTGTTTGTTTCAATTCACAGTTGTAGAACCTGTGGATAAGAAGGGTGAACTGTTTGTAATTTCCTGGGAGATAGTAGTGAAATGACTTTTTCCAACAAAATTGATACATAACAAGTAAAATAACTTTATCAGAGAGCATGATGTCTTGAGGGGACCTTTGGATTCTTACCAAAGTGCTGCATGAGCCACCAGCAGTGTGGCCCTTGGTGGCATGCACCTATGTAGGTAAGCCTGCCTCCTTCCAGGCTACATCAGTTCTAAGTACCATTTCCCTTATCAAATTAATTAATGGTGCAACCATTGGATTGTAAGTTGTAAATATGTATAATTCCTCACTCCCATGAGTGAGAAAAGTGGGTTTTAAGGGAGACCGTTTTGTTTTGCTCCGTGTATGAGTGTTAGGATGCACAAGGCAGAAGCCAAGAGAAAAGTCTCTTGCAGGAAGCTAGAGAAGAGCTACATCATGCTGCACAAAGGACTGCCCAGCTGGTGACAACTCTAGAGTGGAGGGAGGGATTCTCAGGATAGGAAAATCCAGGCAACTGACAGGTGTTTGAGAGACTGGCAAGAGGAAGGGAAGGAGAAGGGGGAAAAGAGTCGGGAAAGAGATAAGGACCGTACATTTTTAGAATATCCTGCTATGGGTTGTGCAATATAATTCTGTCTTCAGTACTCTCATCATGAAAAAACTTCAGTAAAAAATTCCTGTTTGGGACCCAATGCTGAGTATACTTAGATTATGTCTTAGTCTGTTTTCTGTTGCTACAACAGAATACCCAAGTATGGGTAATTTAAAAAGAAAAGACCTCATGGTTTTGGAAGCTGTGTGGTTACATAGAGCAATGACTATATGTTGCTTCAACTCGTGATGAAGGCACACGCAGGATTGCCAGCAACAAGGGGTGGCTTTACAACAACCCACTTTCCTGGTAACTAACCCAGTCCCACTAGAGTAAAGTCTCACTCACTATTTGAAGAAAAGCTTAACCCATCCACAAGATCTCCACCCCATAACCCAACTCCTCCTACTAGGCCCCACCACCCAGCAATTCTACACTGAGAATTAAGGCTTGACTTGAGTTTTGATGGGAATAGACCACATTCAAATCATTACAGGTGACAAAAAGGTTCCTGCTGGTTGAATGTGGAGCTCTCCTGTCTGGGCCAGAGAGCTCCTCAGTGTGGAATGCCTGCCTATGGCCTCCTGCTCATGGTCCCTACCCCGCAGGGTGGCCCTTCATGTCCTGTAATCTCTCTTTGCTGCATCAGCCTTACCATCATCCAGAGGCAGGCTCTCCTCATCCCATGTGTAGGTGACTCCAGTTGATTTTTACTGTCTTAAATAAATATTTTAGTCATCAGAGGTAGCTCTTACACTGCTCCTGCTTCCCATTGGCCCTACGTGTTGACAGAAGGGGGTTCACAGGCTTCACTTTCAATGTGCACCCTCACAAGTGCATCCATTGTGAAGGGCCTCGAGATCTTACATTGCCCAGCATTTGGAGATACTTTTTTCATTTAAATGACAACATTTAGAATATTTCTTTTTCTTTTTTTAATTTTTTTTTATTTTTTTAGTTGTAGATGGACACAATGCCTTTATTTATTTATTTTTCATTTGGTGCTGAGAATTGAACTCAGTGCCTCATGCATGCTAGGCAAGTGCTCTACCACTGAGCCACAATGCCAGATTCTCTCTCTCTCTCTCTCTCTCTCTCTCTCTCTCTCTCTCTCTCTCTCTCTCTTTGGAATAGGGATTGAATCCAGGGCTTTGGGAATGTGAGGCAAGCTGCTTTGCTGTTGAGCTACATCCCAGCCCCTACAGTATTTCTTAAGTGACAGTTACTGTTTTATGCTGAGTACAAAGGCATTGTGTGTTTATACTGGAAAACCTGAGAAACATAGCTAGTAGTTTTACTATCCAAAATAACTTCTCTCAATCTTTTCAAAATTTATTTTAACTCATACATAAAATTATACATATTAATGGGGTGCCATGTAATGTTTTGATGCTTGTATATATTGTATAATGTTTAAATCAGGTTAAACGTGTGTATCTCCTCAAATATTTATCATTTTTTCTGGTGAAAACTTTCAAATCCTTTCTTCTAGGTTTTTGAAATGCATAGACTTTTATTGTTTTATATATAGTCATTCTACTGTGCCACCCCACATCAGCTGTGCTTGCTCCTAATTTTAACCTAGTACCCATTGATTGACCACACACACACACATACACACACACACACACTGATACACACACACTGATACACACATACATGCAGATTGTATATATACAAATCAGATATATACAGATTGGATTTGTGTGTTTATATACACATAATACATAAAGATAAAGTATACATTGAATATGCTATTAAATCTGTTTTTCCACTTAACATTATACTAAGAATATTTCCTTGGGTTGGAAATGTGACTCAGTGGTACAGCACCTGCCTAGCATGATCAAGGCTCTGGGTTTGATCCCCACTACTGACAAAAACAATAAAAAATAAAAATATTTTTCTTTTATTTCCTGAGACCAGGATCTCTTGGTCCTATTGCATTATGATCCTTTTTATTATACCATAATTTATTCAGCCTCCTCCTTATTTGGGGACTTCTAACTTGACATATGGTGTTTTCAGAAGGGTTAGACCATTTTGTCTACCAATTCACCTTGTATAAAGGTGCCCAGTGAAATATGGCTATTTAAAAATAGTCACATTATGTAGAGTTTAAATACCTCATGAGTAGTGCATAGTGTATACTTTTTACTGTCAATAAATTGCACAGATTTATTTCTAGCTTTGTATGCCTTCTGAATATGGTTTCGTTTGCACCACAAGCCCTTCACCCTGCCCTGGTCCAGATACAATGGCACACTTAATAAACCATCTGAGCACAGTTTATATTTGTGGCACTATTTATGGCATTTGAGTGTTGTCATCAAAAGATTTATACTTTGTCTTAAAAATGTTACAAAGCAAAATTTTCTGCATAATTAGCAAATCATGGATTTTCCAAGTTCTGGGAATGATCGACTGCTAACCAGGACAGAGGTCAAGATGTCTGTGATGGTTTGTTCATGTGTCAGCTTGACTGGGCTGAGGATTACCCAGATAGCTGGTAAACATTATTTCTGGGTGTATTTGTGAGGGTGTTTATTGAAGAAATTAATATTTTAATTGTAAGACCAAATAAAGTAGATCTGTCCTTGACTTCCCATTACTATACCAAAAATCTAAGAAAATCAACTTACAAAGAAAAAATTGGGAACTTAAAAATAAAAAAATTATTTTGGTCCACAGTTTTAGAGGTTTCAGTCCATGATCTCTTGGTCCTATTGCTTCGTGATGAGGTAGAACCTCTTACCTCATGACCAGGGAGCAGAAAAGAAAGAGAAGGGTTTAGGTCTCACAATCCCCTTTGGAGGCATGACCCCCACCCCTATAACCCATAGACCCCAATCAGCCCTATCTCTAAAAGTTCCTACCAACTTCCATTAGCTCCAAGCTGGGTGCCAAGCTTTTAACATACAGGCTTGGGCAGGGGGGATGCTCTTAATATCCAAGCTATACTGACTCTCATCAGTGTTGAAAAGAACTATCCAATCTGTTACTACAAAAGACCTATAAAAATAGGGCCCAGAAATGAAACCACCATTTGACCCAGCTATCCCACTCCTCATTTAATACCAAAAGGACTTAAAAACAGCATACTACTGGGACATAGCCACATCGTTGTGGAACCAACTTAGATGCCCTTCAACAGATGGATTTAAAAAATGTGGTATATATACACAATAGAATATTACTGAGCATTAAAAGAGAATAAAACCATGGCATTTGCAGGGAAATGGATGGAATTAGAGAACATAACGCTAAGTGAAGTAAGCCAGTCCCAAAAAACCAAATGCCAAATGTTTTCTCTGATATAAGGATACTGATATATATATATATATATATATATATATATATATATATATATATATAATAGGATGGGGGGAGCATGGGAGGAATAGTCAAACTTTAGATAGGGCAAAGGGGAGGGAGGGGAAGAGAAGGGGCATGGTGGTAGGAAAGACGGTGGAATGAGATGGACATCATTACCCTAAGTATATGTATGAAGACATGAATAGTGTGACTCTACTTTGTATACAACCAGAGACATGAAAAATTGAACTCTATATGTGTAATATGAATTGAATTGCATTCTGCAGTCATATATAACAAATTAGAATAAATAAAATTTAAAAAAAGAGAGCCCAAAAGCCACAACAAAAAGGCAGAGGAAGGCAAATTATTTCTCTCCTTTTCCTGGAGCTAGGATATCTGTGTTCTCTTGCCCTTGGATATCAGCTCTCTTCGTTCTCAGAACTTCAGACACCAGGACTTACACGACCAACCCTCTCCTAGCCCAAGGCTCTCGGGCTTTGGCCCTGTATTGGGACTTCCCTGGTTCTTAGGCTTGGATTGAACTATACCACCGACTTTCCTAGTTCTGTGACTTGTAGACAGCCATCAGACATCAGAAGATTTCTTGGCCTCCATAATGATATGAACCAAAACCTCAGACTTCTTTACATACCCTTTTGGTTCGATTTCTTTGGAGAACTCTAATACAATGCCTTCACTTACCTTAAACTAACCTTAGAACTTGATGTAAGATAGTATTACCTGGTTCCACCGTTGTCCAGAACTATGAAGGCTCAGCCAGAGGATATGTCTCTCCCACTTGCCCAGAGCTTTCAAAGAGCTGGCACCACCAACACTCTGGCTTCTTCTCCTGGATCACTTTAGCCTTTGTTCAGACTGAGCCCAGACTTCCTTTCCAACTATGTCATATGGTAGAAGTTCTGTTCATGGCCTAGTGACCATGTGGCTTTCTTGGCTGTTTTCTACAAAGTTGCCTAAGTGTTACATTTTATTAACTCAGAGAGGTCCACAGTTCCACCTGAGTGATATCAACTCAATCTCAGCATATACTGACCATTCTAGATTCTTAGCTTTAATACCTTTGCTGAAGGTTCTGTTAACTCACCTGCATCTCACGCCAGTACTCTCTATCTCAGTAACTACTCTTGGCTGCAAATAGACAGCCAGGAGTTCAGTCTCTGTAAGCCAGTAAATGTCTAGGTAAGTCAGTCAGTCATGTTTTTTGACCTTCCCTTTCTTTATCTGTGAAATGGGAATAGTGCTTTCTCATGTGGATATACCCAGTGTTTGGCACATAAGGGTTCAAATAACAGTTTATTGGTATATAGGTTTTTCTCTACTTTAAGACATTTTTCTAATTTAAAAATTATAATTTTAGGGAAAGGGACAAGACATTTCCTTAATAAACATTGAAGTCCTTTAACTAAATCTTTCAGGAAATTTTCATTTACATTTCTAACAATAGAAACAAACAATTCCACTGCATATTTAAAGAGGAACTTACAGACCCCCGAAGATACGAGAGGTACTCCGTTATCAACAGAAAGAAGACCTCACATGCATTGTGGCTTCTCAGTAGAGGTGGGCCAGCATGTGACAGGCACAGCCATGTAACACATCCCTGACACAGCCCCCCAGCTTGTAGTCCTGGGTGGGCATACAGAAGGTTCACAGCCAAGACCAGCTGAACAGAGGAGACTCAAGGCAGAGCTCACTTCCTCAAGCCAATTTTGTCCTCAGGCCTCACAGTGTTAACAAGCCTGCTATGGGTTCCTTGAACTGCTAAGAAGTCAGTTCCTCGAAGCTCATCTCTGATTTATCCCCTGCAGTTTCCGAGGCAAAGACATAGAGGCAAACAGAGACAATCCCCACGCAGCTTCCTCATAAAGAGCTCTTCATACAAAGTTGAAACTGAGTTCCTTTTGTCCCTGCTTCACAATACAAATCATATTACAAAGAAAAATTGCAGACTTTCTGTGTCTTAATTACAACATACCCAGTTTCTGCCACATGATGTGGTGTAGGCAAAATTATAATTGATTTTTTTTTTTAATCATTGATTCTTAAGGTAATGCTTGAGGCCACGTGGTCACCTAAAAAAAAAGTGCACATCAATTTACAGAATCATCTACTCACTATAAAAGGAAGGCTATGTCAATAACCCAAATTTCCTTGGAGGCCACAAGATAAACAGACTTTATACAAGGAGCAGTTATTTTAGATCAGTTTCCCAGCCCCCACATTTAGAAAACATTTTTTTAAACAGAGCTCATTTCATGTAAATAAAAATCCACCATAACCCTACCACTAGGAAAAACACTATTAGTGTTTTAGTGATTGTAAATCATGTCAGGCCCTTCCCTGGGCATATATGTGCAAAAACAACTATTTATTTAATTATTTAGTGCCTTCTTTGTATAGGGCCCTATGCTATGCACCACAGAAAACAAATAGCAATAAATCAAATAGCATGGGCCCGCCTAGGGGAGCTTATGTTCTATCAAGGAGAGACCAACCACACACAAATAAACATACATGTCAAATGTTATACAGTAATATTAAGAAGAAAATTAAGTAAAGGAAGAAGATGGCAGTATGACATTGGAATATGCTAATTTAGACAAACAGCCAGCTCTGTCAAAAATTATTTATGGACATTTATCCTATACAAGTCTTATAAAGTATGGCATTTTCAGACTTAGAACTAGAATTAAAATTAGCAATTTAGTGACCTTAACGTGGACAATAGTCAAAGCAAAATCAAATACTAAGACAGCACTCAACATTTTTGTATACTTAGTTTTGTTTTTCTTTCACACTCAGTGTATGAACAGTGAATTTAAATTACATAAGTAACAGATTATTGTATTTTTCTTGCAAATGATCCAAAACTATAGCTAAAACAAATTTTGCATATATAAATAGCATATCTCCCATTTATTATCTCAGACTAAGTAACCATTATCATCAGTCATTCTTCTTCTAGAGAAAATCTAAACCTTTTCAACATGCATATTCATATAAACATAGCAGTAAATTGTACTGAATTAGCAAAATAACGTAACCAAGCCAAGGGCCAAGGTGCTCACCTGTAATCCCAGTTACTCAGGTGGCTGAGGCAAGAGCTCATAAGTTCCAAGCCAGCCTGGGCAATTCAACAAGACTCATCTTAAGACAAAAACAGAAACAAATAATTTATACTCTGCTAGAAAATATTTTGCTATTTTCATGCCTGTATCCCATTCCTTCTAACTTTTGCATAGCATTCCACAGTCAGGAACTTCCATGTATTTAAATACTTCCATGTATATAACTCTTTCATTCTTGATAAATATAATGTGATTTCCAATTTTCATTATTAAAAGATAAGATGGCAATTAACATCTGCATACTTAACTTTTTATATTCATGTGATTACGGCCTATGGGTGATAATATGGAGAAAAACTACTGGACCATAGGACTTTACATTTTAATATATACTATCTAACGATTTTATCTATTAAAGCACTGGGTATCTTTTTTTATCTATTAAACCACAATATAGGTATCTTGAGGCTACATTTTCTCCCACCTCACAAAATACTGTGAACATTTATCAGTGTATTTATAGGTCCTGTAAAAAAAACTCATAGAGGCATATGATTCCACTTCATTGGTTTCATTATAGTGTTTGCAACTACTTCTCTACTGTAGAATATTTCAAATATATCCAATTTGTGTCTATGAATCTTGTGTATACATAGGTGTAATTTCCTGATACCATATTCCTTGAAGTTTAATACTGGGCCAAAGGGGATGGACAAGTTGAGGACATCGTATACAAGACTTGCCAAATGGCCCTCTGGAAAGACAATTCCAACAGCAGGGAACGGGAATAATCACATTCATTTATAGATGAGCATCCAGGGTGTTCCGCCAATTTTACTCAATTGTGAAAGTTTCTGTGAAGGTGGCAAACTCTCTACCTGTGCAGGGACCCTGCAGCATGATGTACCCAATATGGCAGGATACTATGAGACTGCAGATTGGCAAGCCCTGGCTTTCCACTTATGACTGTGGCCCTTAAGGCACAACTTGTCTGCATGCCCCAGTGGGCATGGTACTCATACCCTATGGAGTGTTTGTGTGGAATAAATGAGCTAAAATTTTTTTGCACAGCACCTAGTTCAGTTCTCACAAATATTAGCAACAAGTTATTATACTGTTGCTGTTTCTACGCTTACTTTTAGAAGCAAAAATATACAAAATTCCTTATTCATTTTATTTATTGACTACTTTCTATGAAGTAAGGTAGACAGTATTTTCATCCATGTGACAAATTTATTAGAGAATTTATTAGGAAGATTTTTTGCTAAAAGAGTGCTTTGTTTGTCAGCAGAGGAATTATATAGTCATTCTTTGGTATCTGCAGGTTTCATATTGGTTTTAGAACCTCTAAGATACCAAAATCAACAGGCACTCAAGTCCTTATATAAAATGGGGTAGTATATAACTTATGGGGTTACATATAATGTATGTAAAATGGAGTTACATATAACTTATGGACATCTTCCTGAATAACTGAAATAATCTCTAAATGATTATAATACCTAATACAAGTAAGTGCTGTGTAACTAGCTATTATAATATTTAGAAAATAATGACATGAGAAAAAGACGGTACATGTTCAACACAGATGCAATGAGTTACAAGTACTTTTTTCCAAATATATTTGATCCAACTGTATGATCATGTATCTGTCTTTTGGCCTTTGTTCTGAGTAAATGTTCAATTAGAATAATACTGATACTATTGGCATATGAATTTAGTATATTGATTTCATTGTCATTTTAATGTTTTTTATTAGCCTTACTTTGAGTGTGTGTGTGTGTGTAGGGGTGTGTGTGTGTAGGGGTGTGTGTGTGTTGTGTGTGTGTGTGTGTGTGTGTATATATATATATATATATATATATATATATATATATATATAAAATCTTCCCATATAGTTTTATTTAAGCCCCTATACATTTCTTTACATTATAAATTATGAGTAAGCAATCTCATCATTGAAACAGATGTAGAGGGTTCAGAAAAAGGGTCAAAAGCAGAAAAATGTGACCAAACTACAAAGAATATCAAATAAAAGGAGACAGAGCCAATTTTTATAACATGTGTCTATGTAAATTCAGAAAAACTCAAAATGAGAGGAGGAGCTTGAGTCTCTTTAGTCTTTGCTTTGTTGAGTACTGAAGCAAATAAGTGGAAAAATTGATTTTAAGGGTAAATGAAAAACTAGCATGAATTTTGCATCTACAGCATTCCAGGCATTATTATTCCAGGCATTAGGTTACTATAATGTTTTTCTTAATCCACACCAAATAATTGTTCAGTTGACCCTCCATTTTCAGAAAAGGCTGAGTCCAGAAGGGTTCTCTCCCAGGTGACGGTAACCACCACCCTCCTTCCCAGGAGGCACAGTGAGCAGCACACATGGCATCTCCTATACATGTCCCTTATCCCAGGGCTGATGAGCAGGCAGACAAGGTGATGGCTCTCTTCAAGAGATCTAAAGCTGAGTGATCATCCTCTTGGCTCAAAAGAAGTGAGATGCATAGTGCTATTTCAACAAATAATATGAAGGAATGAGGTGTTACATCAGAAGGCAACATGTGACACAAATACACACACACACACACACACACACACTGATCATGCCTAGAATTTATCCTGAATAACTAACCTACTAAAATTAAATTTAGATATCTTCTTGCAAGACTATCCATACAAGAGTACAGCTTGAATGTTTGAGCATAACATAAATTATAAAATAACATAGTCCTAAAAATAAAAACAAAATAAAGTAGAAATTAGAACCAGCTATATAATTTGCAGGTGCCACTACCAAATGAAAATATTGTGTACTTTGTTCAAAATTATTAAGAATTTTGAGATGATAACTACAGAGCATTAAGGCAGGGGACCTTCTAAGCATGGAACCCTCTGTGACTTCATTTAGCCATTCCTAAAAGATAAACATAGAGAGCATTTGTAATATATTACATGGTAAGCAAAATAGATGAATAAATGCAACATGATTATAATTACACAGATCTGTGTGTGGATCCACAGCCAGTTCTCCTGCTGTCCTCACTGGGGTTAACTGCAGTGTAGTCGTCTGTGACCCCCACAGGAAGACACCTCATTCAGGCACTGTTCTGTGCATGATTGCCATAATTGGTGAACATCCTTGTCTGTTTTAATTCTCAGGGATTTATCTGGTCCAGGTATCTCTCTGAGCCTGTGCCTCACACTGCCCTGTGCTTTATACCATCTGCATCCAGTTTCCTTAATATTTACCTTGGAGCAGCCAGCCTCTTGTCCTCTGCAGTTGTACGAAGCTGACAACTTGAGAACACGGTGAGTGGTCCCAGCCTGGGCAGGCCTGGGTATGGAGCTGCTGCCAAGTGTGAGATGTAAACTGGACCTTAGAGCCAGTCAGGCCTATTACCCAGGACAGTCTCCAAAAGTCAGCAAAGCCAGAGAGGAAAAACAAACACATAGTCTGTTGAGAGCAATGCAAAACAAGACTGAATAGTGCAGAAAGCTGTGGGGATGCTTATTTTTGCCAGGTACCAAGTTTAGAATCCTGGAGGGCTTACTGAATAGCCTTACAACATGGGTGAGGGTGTTTCAAATCAACCAAGCCTCCCCCGGAGGATTCTTCAGGATTGCTTTCTCCTATAGATTTGGCCTTAGATGCTTTAAGAAATTAATACCATAGAAATTGCTGATAAACTACACAGGTGGAGGCTTACTTGGACTTTATGTGTGATGCAATTTTCAACCATATACTTCACAAGGCAAAGCCAACATAACCAACCATACAGACTCAGTCCTGCTACTTCCTAACACCTAATAGGTATGTTCACCACTCTGTTCAGTCAGAACTGTAAAAAAATAAAAATAAACTTGCTTAAGATCACATGGAGTGACTTGGAGAGCCAGAGCTCAGACCCCAGGCTCTGAAAATTGTGTCCATCCAAACGAACAGCCATCTCTGCCTACAGGATATTTGAATGCTGTCACTTCTCAGCACATAGCCTCATGTTCTTCTCGAATGAGTGTTTATGTAATATTCTCGTTCCTTTTCCCTGCCTCAGGTACCACCTCTCTTGACGTTAGACGTTCAAGCCCTGTTTGAACACTTGCTTCCTCTGTGCCCATCCACATCCAGTTCATGCCGGCTGAACACTCATCATGCCAACTGGTTCTATTCCTGACCTCTCTCACAAGGCATGGAGATGTTCCTGGTCAAACCGGTTGGCTCTTCATGGGAGCCACTTCCAGATTTAACCCCCACATAATCAATGAATTTCACTTAGTCTTTAGGTAGATCTGAAGTCATATAATGAACGATGGATTTCCATCATTCATTAAGAAATTGCTAAAACAGTAAAATAATAGAGTAACCTTTCATTACACATTTTTGAAAAGCAGTTGTATTTCCCACTTTGGGTTTCTTCAGGCTCACCGTTATCGAATCACAAATCTCTTCACTGTGTAGGCAATAAAAACTGGGGCACAAAGAAACTTTGTGACGTCCTAAGAAGACAGTTAATAAGCACCAGGGCTCCTGAAAGCTCTGGTTAAAACCTGCACTGCATCATGCCTCATCCAGGATATTTTTCTTTATTCCAGCCCCAACACAGAGATATTATGTACTCAATATTTACTGAAACATACAATAGCATTTCTTCTTTTGCAGTTTTTAAGCTGAATTGTGGTGTTTGGTCATAAAAGTTTTCAAATATAAATGCGTAGAGTTTTGAAAGGTAGTTCCATAAATGTTTTAACTTCCCTTATTGATGTTGTTTATTCCCTTGGTCTATCTCAATTATGCTATTTGTGATTTACCCCCAATTTCACTGGTTACTATCTGGAAGTTTATCTGTATTCTCTTTCAAAGAACTAGTTATTGGATCTGTTGGTTCTTTTTTTCTGCATTCTAGTTTATTTCTGTAATTATCTTTATTTTTTCTTGTTTTCCCTTGATTTTTTTGTTTTCCTTTTCTTACTTTTTGAGTTGAATACTTTATTCACTTACTTTTTTTTAAGTTTTAAATAAACACATGTGCTAAGGTGATGCATGTGCCCCTGGGTACAACTTTAACAAATTCTTCTATTTTG